AGACATGAATGTCTAAAGCTTGTCAATAACAAAATCACCTTTTAACTCCTGATATCTGCATACGATTCTCTCAAACAGAAACTGTTGAAACTCCCAAAACAAATCTTATAATTATCGACCAACACCTAAGCTGAGATTTCAAGCTGTGCTATTCCTTTTCTCACAAGTCACTATCTGTAACGTGTAGATGAGGTAGTAGTGAATCGTCATTATGTGTAGATGAAGAGACAGTCGGTTATCGTCAGATGTGTCAAAAAAATTTTGGGTGGTTATTAGCAGTATTAGTCATGTATTTGGTTAGAGATAGTTGGAAAACAAATGTATTTACAACATCATGTTGTTTATTCCTGTTGTTATAGTGTTCTTTAATTTGAAGACAATAGCAACTCCTCTATTGTGAACCTATTTCGTTGTTCTGACAACGTTTTGGTGTTGCAATAATATCCATCCAAAATTATATCCATCAAGCTTTCTACCAACATTTTTTGTTTTGGCCATATACATACCTCTTTACTTGAACTCGTGCTGCGGTTATATTCTGGATATAGTAACTTTGTATTTGGTGCTCATGAACATGTTTAGATCAAAGGATAGGTTTATCTATTTGTTAGGTTATGATGCTGTGAAATACAATTTCTCTTTGTATTTTTGGTTTGTTTTCCTCGGATTCATTCATCTCTTTTGCTTCTTATCCAGTGGGTATTGTCCTTCATTTTCTGGAGAAAGAAAGCATCTCGAAGCAAGTATGTTTCTGTTTTAATCTAGCATGTAATGTTATTGTGTAGATAAACTCTTATAGAAGTAACATTTTTTTAAAAAAATCTACATCAGGTACTCATTTGGACTATCAAACAACAATGTTGGTTTATTGCTCCTTTTAGATAGATCTCCTCGTGTGAATCACTGGCAATATCTCTCAAGTACTCGGGAATGATCACATTTTTCTTGCATGTGATCGAGCCTTTATAATCTGAGATTGCTCTTGATGCTGTAAATAAGGAAATGGAAATTTACTGTACGATGTATTTGGTGACATTCTTTTACGATTTTCCACGTGTCTCTGTATTTGTTTGTTATTTGACCAAATATTTATTCGGCTTTGATATACCCGTGGTTATTGAGTAAA